TAATGTGTCCAGGTTTCAGGCAGACACATAATTCAGACCAACAGGGAATGGGCACTTTCTAGTCACCATGGCGACCTGGTGCCTGGGCTTTGTCGAGCCATGTGTATGGGTGTATATAGAGCTCCATTTACAGGAGACGGTCAGAGACTGCGGAGGGGAGGCAGGAGACGGTCAGAGACTGCGGAGGGGAGGCAGGAGACGGTCAGAGACTGCGGAGGGGAGGCAGGAGACGGTCAGAGACTGCGGAGGGGAGGCAGGAGACGGTCAGAGACTGCGGAGGGGAGGCAGGAGACGGTCAGAGACTGCGGAGGGGAGGCAGGAGACGGTCAGAGACTGCGGAGGGGAGGCAGGAGACGGTCAGAGACTGCTGACGGGAGGCAGGAGACGGTCAGACTGCTGACGGGAGGCAGGAGACGGTCAGAGACTGCGGACGGGAGGCAGGAGACGGTCAGAGACTGCGGACGGGAGGCAGGAGACGGTCAGAGACTGCGGACGGGAGGCAGGAGACGGTCAGAGACTGCGGACGGGAGGCAGGAGACGGTCAGAGACTGCGGACGGGAGGCAGGAGACGGTCAGAGACTGCGGGACGGGAGGCAGGAGACGGTCAGAGACTGCGGACGGGAGGCAGGAGACGGTCAGAGACTGCGGACGGGAGGCAGGAGACGGTCAGAGACTGCGGACGGGAGGCAGGAGACGGTCAGAGACTGCGGACGGGAGGCAGGAGACGGTCAAAGACTGCGGACGGGAGGCAGGAGACGGTCAGAGACTGCGGACGGGAGGCAGGAGACGGTCAGAGACTGCTGACGGGAGGCAGGAGACGGTCAGAGACTGCGGACGGGAGGCAGGAGACGGTCAGAGACTGCGGACGGGAGGCAGGAGACGGTCAGAGACTGCGGACGGGAGGCAGGAGACGGTCAAAGACTGCGGAAAGGATGCAGGAGACGGTCAAAGACTGCGGAAAGGATACAGGAGACGGTCAAAGACTGCGGAAAGGATACAGGAGACGGTCAAAGACTGCGGAAAGGATACAGGAGACGGTCAAAGACTGCGGAAAGGATACAGGAGACGGTCAAAGACTGCGGAAAGGATACAGGAGACGGTCAAAGACTGCGGAAAGGATACAGGAGACGGTCAAAGACTGCGGAAAGGATACAGGAGACGGTCAAAGACTGCGGAAAGGATACAGGAGACGGTCAAAGACTGCGGAAAGGATACAGGAGACGGTCAAAGACTGCGGAAAGGATACAGGAGACGGTCAAAGACTGCGGAAAGGATACAGGAGACGGTCAAAGACTGCGGAAAGGATACAGGAGACGGTCAAAGACTGCGGAAAGGATACCGGAGACGGTCAAAGACTGCAGAAAGGATACCGGAGACGGTCAAAGATTGCAGAAAGGATACCGGAGACGGTCAAAAATTGCGGAAAGGATACAGGAGAGAGGGTCAAAAATTGAGGAAAGGATACAGGAGACTGACCATCTCTTGTATCCTGTTCGCAGGCTCTGACAGAGACTACAGACACGATACAGGAGATGGTCAAAGATTGCGGAAAGGTTACAGGAGATGGTCAGACTGCAAACATACTACAGGAAAAGGTCAGAGACTCCGGACGTGATAAAGGATCAGTATACTGCAGAAGTAATGAAAGAGCTAAAATAAATAAATAACTCTGAGGATCAAATCAGACGGCAGGTTTGAACCTCACAGAGCCGACACCACCCCAACAAACCCCCCCCCCCCCCCCCCCCCTTGAGCCCGCCCTCCCGCTTGAGCCTAGCCGAGACCGCCCTCCCAGCCGAGTACGGCCAAGATTTCCCCCCTGAAAAATGCCATCCAAGGCAAATGCCTTGTTTGCCATGCAGCAAATACGCCCCTGGTCTTGTCCCTGGTATCTGAGGCTGAGGACAGAAAAAAGCGAACACATTGTCTTAGTTAAGATGGAAAGAAGAGACCAACTTTGGTAAAAAGGACGGCTGAGGCCACAAAACCGTCCTAATGGATCACCAAAACAAAAGCAATCAATTCCAAAAAACCAAATGTTACGACATCTTGCCAACCAGGGACACTTTGCCCAGAAGAGCTCTTGCCAGCTGTTTACTTGATGGGAAGTTGCCCTGATATCCCACAAGAATGCATCAGGTCTAATGCAGGCCCATAGACTGTTCGTTTATCGGCCAATTTTTCGTCCGAAAGAATAATCGACCGATTTTCGCACAGGTAGTGGGGCAAAGGCATCGGCCAATTTTCACGGTTCCTCCTCATTTTGTTTATCGGTCATGCTAGAAAATTCGTGAAAAACGGCGGATTTTCGAAATCATTGGTGGCAACATCGGATTACAAAACGAACAATGCTTTGTTTTTCGGACGAAAAATCGGCCGATAAACAAACTGTCTATGGCCTTCATAACACTGTGGCCAGCACCCTGGAGAACAAATTCTGCAGATTCATAGTGCGCACCTCATCAGAGCCAAAACAGCCTCCAAATTCTGCAGTAATAGCAGAAGACTGATTCCCCATCAGAGGATGAAACAACCCAGACCAGAAACAGTCACTGCAACCAATGATCCAGAAGCCCCTAGGACTGCAGGGAGATAAACTATAAACTCTGTGGGGGAGGCATGAGAGCACCAGCTAACACCTCTGCAGTTGGAGCCTGTCAGAAACTGGGTGAATGGGCCACAAAGTCTAGCATGACTATTATAGACCTCAGCTGACAAGTAGAGAACATTGCCCCACATGGCAGAGCTAGGGAGGACTCCAGAGATGAGGCTGAACTCATAATCATAGAACAGGATTCCAGATGTCAGCAAATTCAGAAGTCATTGTACAAGTGACCCCAGAAGCATTAACAAAATGCGAGTTGGGGGTCACCTACTGATTCAAGTCTGTCCTCTGTGTGACTAGATGCAAACAGGTTGTGGAGGCAAGACATCTTAAGCTTGGAGTATGAGGCAAGGCCTCAGTCAGTCACAAAACACAGACAGCCAGTAGCAGGTAAGGTTCAATTAGCTGGAGGTGACTATAGTCACTGTAGGTGGGCAGTAGAAACAACTGAAAATCAAAATTCCATATGGCATTTGGCAATGCAGGAGGAGCAGCAAACAGGGAAATACTGAATGGAGGAATAGAGCAAGGAGTGTACATGACATTCCACCCATCAGGTGATATCAGTGCTCAGTCCTTCTGTATTACCCTTTTTGCAGTCGAAACTGGCAGAAAGCAGGGATTTTAAAAGTGCCCAGCAAGCAAAACGAATGAGGTAGCTCACATCAGCCCAAATGGCCTACTCAAGAAGCAAGCCATCAAAGACAGGGCAAGCAGGGCGACAATGTTAACAGTTCTGAACGAAAAAAAGTGCTCTATGGCTAACTTATCAGAAAAGAGTCTGGAAAAACTTTACGTAGAACCCAAAGGTTTAGAGGGGTCAAGACATGGCACTCCGAAAACGAGGGTGAAGAAAGACTGTTCTGCATAGCCGCAACTGTAGAGACCAGTTCAAGCAGTTGTGTACAGTAGTCTGGATTGAAGAAAAAAACCAATGGGCTCAAAACATGGACGAAGATAAGTAACTTACTAAAACCGCATGTTTTAGGACACATCGGTGACTCAAAGTACTACTACTACTACAGCTAAAGAAAGCCAGACTAGCATTTTTTCAGGACGGCAATGGCAGCACCCATATTTCTCAGTTTCTTTCAATGTATGTCATTATGGCTATGCCGGAAAGCCACACAGGAGCACAGTTTATTTTGAAAATACCAGGGCCTACAGTACATGTGCAGCTAAGCATATTAATTGGCACCACTTCATAATGAAACCTGGCAAGTATTAGAAGCCATCAACAGTGCCACCTAGTGGGAGATTACAATAAAAGCACCTAATATTTTAGGGCAGGGTCACACAAGACCTTCCACAGAGATAAGAGTCTTAGTTGTGAACAAAATTTCACTTTTATTGCAGTGTGGATGTGCCAAAAATATTCTGTGCAGATACATTTATGTAACTGGAATGTAGACATTAAATTGCAGGAATAAAATTTGTATTCAAATGTCTGGCATTCTGCAGGTTTACACTGAGTAATATAACCAGTTTTTAAAGAGTACCTGGCCATGTTTGCTTGAACTATGGCTAGAAATGAAACATTAGAAATGCGTTATGACTTATCTATTTTGGTTGCTACCTGTGGACCGAAACAACTAGTGATATCAGTCTCATGGAAATTCACTGGCAAGATTCTCCCTGGCAATACCCATCAATTTTCACAAGCTTTTTCCAAGGTTTCATCAGCACTTGGGGACCGTACTTACATTCAACACTAAGTAGCTCAACTATGTGCTCCTTCCCTGCTGTACTACCATCAATGAAACGTGATCTATGAAAGGACGACGGGTGGATAAAAGGTCAAAACCAGCCAATAGTACAAGGGACACCCCACATTGAATGCAAGTATCGTGCCTTGTGCTGACTTTTAATTATGCCTAAATGCAGGCTTTAAGAAACCCAGTGCCCCCAAAATGTGTACATTTTTCTGCACTATTATAACAGCATAAGAGCTCTACTTGCTGGGTTACTGCATACGACCAGCCATTTCTACCCTATTAAATTGGTTTTATATCTAAGACATGAAATCTTAACAAAGCACATATTTCTAGCGTTTATTTGCCTCTCTCCAAAGCACCAAGTGTCATTTTTTTTCTCTGTGGTCTCCTTCATGCATGTGTGTGGAAATGGGGGTCCATTCCTTCCAATCAGGGCTCTTGGTACAGTGGTTAACCTCAGCTCCCAGTCCACTGTTTTGTGAGTCTGAAAAATCCTTTTCAACTCTTGAGTTTTACAAGGATGTACAGGACAAATGGTTGCAAATAAAACAGCTACAGCTTATGTAGGAGGATTTATTTAACCTTTTTCACCTGAGGCTAGTCACTTCACTGGGTATAGGTATGGGTTTACAACAACCAAATCTCATAGGGTATATCTTATTAACTTATGTTACTACGGGTCTACCTTAGTTGTGGACTCTTGTTCGTCTTCCTCCTCTTCGTCCTGGCTTCCTTGTCCAGCACCTTCTTCACCTTCTTCACATGCTGTTTAAACAAATTAAAACAACAAAATAAAAAAAATTGAAGAAAACAAGTCTTGTGACAAAATGGCTGCCAATGCTCACCTCTCCTTTGACAATACTTGCTTCTTGGCTGTTATGCCTACTCTCTGGCTTCAGTGCTCTTAAATTTCTGACAAGTACACAGATCTGGAAATCAGACTTTCCTAATCTACATGATTGTTTTGGGCCAGTGGCTGAAGCACTTTAGCACTGTGATGTCACCAGCACCTAGGCGAGTGGAAGGCTGTGGTCCAAGGTAAGTGTCTCTAAGATTTCTTTGGCCATGATTCTAACCTGTTGACCAGTGAGTATGCTGAAGGTAGAGAAATGACACTGCTGAATGAGGAAACAGATGTGTCCCCTGCCTGGCTATGTAGTGTGGTAGTGGTGTGCTACTACCAAGACTAGATGGCCTGAACAAATATGAATTTTACATGTGTATTTAGCTGTATGCATAGACTAACCCCGAATGTATAATATACATATGCATGTACACATTCAATATAAATAAGTATCAACATGAAAAAACCTTGTATTTGTCTAATGGTTGTATGCGAGCAGCTGCATTTCTTACATGCACAGGCTCTTCTTTCTACTCAGTAATTCTGCACGATTGCCTCTCAATGAAAGTATTAAAGAGTAGATGACAAAAAACCAATATAGTCGCTGTAGTTTCTAATGACATCAAATGCCCAATTGCTTGACTGGGTTTTTAGGTGAGCTGGCAAAGCAGCTTTTTATATACATGGCACACAAGTAGTATTTTTCTTGTAATAATTAGGTCATTTGCGAACACAGATATGTGCTTGTATTTAGTTTTGAGCAAATTTAGTGGCCTGCTTATTCAGCCACATTTTGACTGCCTTAGGTAATGCATATAAAACACACATTCAGAACAGCAGCAGTCTTTGTGAATTTTTACCTGGCTATTTGAAAGTAATCCATAGAGCCCCTTTCTCTGATCAGTATTTGTGCCAAGAGCTGCTCAACTCAGCTGCCTGGGAAGCTGATAAAATGTCCACCCAGAAGGCTCATCTCCGGGTACCTCTGCTGAAATCTCAATTACCGAAAGTTGTTTCACTTAAAAACTATTTCTGTTTTGTTACAACTATATAGGAGTTTGTGGCTGCTTCAGCAGATCTAGAATACTGACATGCAACATTTAGTTTTGGTCTCTCAGCTAAAACTCACTCTGCTCCTCAGCCTGCTCTTCAATATTGTCTTGATCTGCTTCTTTGTTGGCCTCCTTCTCTTCCTCTTCTTCCTCCTCCTCTTTCACATCAGGCTGGGGGGAATCGGTTTTTTTTTTTGTGCCTTACATCTGCAGGCTGCTTCTGTAAGAACCAAGTCAAAGAAAAAACCCAAATATATTAAAAGGTTAAAATATAAGTGAAACACTTTCCTTAAGTGCCAATAACTATGCTCTCTAAGATGTTTGGGCAATTCAATGCAATTACCTTGCATTTCAAATATACACGTTTGTAGCAATTCACACCACTGCATTGTAATTTTGTGCACGGCAACGCACATTGTGAAGGGCCTCACAGTTCATCTATAAAAACACGTCAGCTGGCAGCACGCAGTGTTTTGGTGTGAATAAGCCCCCCAGACAAACACTTTTATGAAGAGTCGTAACCCCCCCCCCCCCCCCCCCAAAAAAAAACAACCCCACACAAACAAATGACTTGTGAACTATATCGACATCGAAAGTTTAGAGAAAGTCAAGGTTGTTTGAATAATGGATTACTAATTAAGTCTTTGCAGACTATATTTTCCAGCACTGCGGAGTGATAGGAACTTGGTAAAAGAGAGAAAAAATTGGAAACAAAACTGAGACGAATAAGATTCAATGTAAAGACTATTGTTCAGTACACAGCAATACATTCAATGTTTACAAACAGATCCTGTGCTTACCTTGCCTGAGCAGCAGAACAGAATGATGAGGAACACTGGCAAAGCCACTGTCAGGATGTAGACAATCCAAAGCCAGGGCCTCTCTTCAGCAGCAGCCATCATTTGACCCACTACGCTGGGCTGGAATAAATGTTTAGTAGTTAGCTACAGTAATATGTAATTGGCCCTCAGATATCTATGCTAATTATATATGTGATCCAAAAGCAGGCAACTATTTTAAACTCCCATAAACCTCAATCATTAGGTCAAGACTTGAGAAATCCATAGGACCAAGCAGGTAAAGGTTTACACAAAGAAGATATATATATATATATATATATATACACACATACATATACACACATACACACACACACACACACACACACACACACACACACACACACACACACATATATACACACACACACACACACACACACACACACACACACACACACACACATACATATACACACACACACACACACACACACACACACACAGTTGTGTTCAAACTAATAGTGTGTTGAAAAAAAGTGAATAAAGCTCAAAATCCTTCTAATAGCTTTTATTTCCATACACACAAATGCATTGGGAACACTACACATTCTATTCCAAATCAAAACATGAAAAAAAAATATCACATTTGTGCTGTTCCTATAAAAAATTGAAGAAAAGTGAATATTAGACTGCTCAAAAAAATAGCAGCGTTTGTATTCTTCTTTACAAACTCAAACATTCACTATATAAACTGATAAATGTTTGAAGATTTTGCTTTCCTTTGAATCAATTATTTAGTTGTATAAGCACTGTTTCTGAAAACTGCTGTACATCTGTGTTGCATGGAGTCCACCAACTTCTGGCATCTGTGAACAGGTATTCCAGCCCAGGATGATTGGACTACATTCCACAGTTCTTCTCTATTTCTTGGTTTTGCCTCAGAAACTGCATTTTTGATGTCACCCCACAAGTTTTCTATTGGATTAAGATCCGGGTATTGGGCTGGCCACTCCATAACGTCAATCTTGTTGGTCTGGAACCAAGATGTTGCACTTTTACTGGTGTGTTTGGGGTCGTTGTCTTGTTGGAACACCCATTTCAAGGGCATTTCCTCTTCAGCATAAGGCAGCATGACCTCTTCAAGTATTCTGATGTATTCAAACTGATCCATGATCCCTGGTATACGATAAATAGGCCCAACACCATAGTATGAGAAACATCCCCATATCATGATGCTTGCGCAACCATGCTTCACTGTCTTCACAGCGTACTGTGGCTTGAATTCAGTGTTTGGGGGTCGTCTGACAAACTGTCTCCGGCCACTAGACCCAAAAAGAACAATCTTACTTTCATCAGTCCAGAAAATGTTGCGCCATTTCTCTTTAGGCCAGTCAATGTGCTCTTTGACAAATTGTAACCTCTTCAGCACGTCTTTTTTTTCAACAGTGGGACTTTGCGGGGGCTTCTTGCAGATAGCTTGGCTTCACATAGGCGTCTTCTAATTGTAACAGTACTCACAGGTAACTTTAGACCTTCTTTGATCTTCCTGGAGCTGATTGTTGGCTGAGTCCTTGCCATTTTGTCTATTCTTCTATCCATTCGAATGGTAGTTTTTCGCTTTCTTCCATGTCTTTCAGGTTTTGGTTGCCATTTTAAAGCATTTGCGATCATTTTAGCTGAGCAACCTATCATTTTCTGCACTTCTTTATGTTTTCCCCTCTCCAATCAACTTTTTAATCAAGGTACGCTGTTCTTCTGAACAATGTCTGGAATGACTGTTGGGTCTGTTGGATTTCTATTACTCTACTACACCTGCTAGTAAATTATTTGCCATGTAGAAATAGGATTTCTACCAAAAATAGTGATTGATCAGGTTAGTGATGTCTGACTGCTATTATTTGAACACAACTGTATATATACACACACACACACACACACAATATATATTTACACACATACATCACACGCTACTATGCCCCAAACAATAAAAGGGTACTGGTGTTCAAGTCATGAGGGACTTTGTTAGGTGACCCACACACCATAGGGTATGTTGCGAACAGTGGCTTTCATAAAGATCTATATGCTTTACAAACTTGTTAAAAATGGCTCTACAATATACGCCATGATAAACATATGATCCCTGTCGATTCACCATTCTCCAAGTCACTCAGTGATCGATCACTTTCACTACCAGTCACTCGGTGTACAGAACAGGCATACATTTGCTAGTAGGTCTCAAGATGTACCTCAGCAGCTCCATCAGCAGCTTTCTTCAAGCCCCAGCCAGCATTTGCCCAATCATCAGCCACAGCTCTGTCACTGCACACAAAGAAGTTGTCAAAGAAGATATCAGAAGTCATGGACCACAGTTCCAGACCAATGGCGTAAAATGGAGTCATCTTGAAGGGCTCGAGATCTTCAAAGTAATCTGGATTTTGGATCTTGCGTGGTTTCCAGATACCCTGCAGTGAACAAAAGTAATGTTGGTCAATACAGATGAAAATTACTTCTTTCCAGATAAGGAAGCTGCTTTCTTAGCCTTTGCTTGACCTGAAGTTGCCATGATGTTGCACATATGGTCAGGTATGACCTAAACCATTTGATGGCTTAACAGTTTGGTTGAGAGCAAAAGCAATGGTGACAATTATTCACAGCATCTACTGAATGCAACTTTTGGAACACTGTTAATTTCTGGGTTTAAATCCGTTACAAAACTGCCTTAACAATCAGCATTTCCCAGCAACCTACAGATTCAAGTGTTCAATCTGTAATGGTAGATTTCCAGAGCAGGTCTGAATTTGCAAAGCTGCTCTAGTGGAAAAGTGAAATTGCTTTAGACATCTCTTCTCTCAGACACTTTAAAGTCAGGCTGTCCTGACTGGCTTCTCCTACGTCTTGTGAATTCCTACTAACCAAAGAGGTGAGTCTTAGCTGCAAGCTCCAACACCATCATTAGCATGCCATGGCATTTGGCTGACAGGAAGGTTCAGAAGACTGCTGCATTTACCTCTAGGTGCATGCAATCTCATACCTGTAGCAGTTTGACCCCCTTATTCTAAGTGATAAGGTCTCTTTGTACCTACCTTCCTGATTGCTGTGCACAAATTCGCCACAGATGTGTACAGCCAGCAGTTCTTTTTATTGCTAGGAGCATGCTCACTTGGCACTCCAGCACTATAACAAAGCTGTCACGATAAAGCCAATCACAGTGATCGCATGATCAGAGGGGCTCCTACAGCGTTAATATTTATTTCAGGTACTTCTATAGCGCCGTCAATTTATGCAGCGCTTTACATATATATTGTACACTCACATCAGTCCCTAACCGTCAAGGGGCGTACTAAGGTCCCTAACTCACATTCAAATACAAGGGCCAATTTAGACTGGATCCAATTAACCTACCAGCATGTCTTTGGATTGTGGGAGGAAGCTGGAGTACCCGGAGGAAACCCACGCAGTCACAGGGAGAACATGCAAACTCCAGGCTGGTGGTGCCGTGGTTGGGATTCGAACCAATGACCCTAGCACTGCCAGGTGGAAGTGCTAACCATTTAGCCACTGTGCTGCCCAAATATAAAATACCTGTTTAAGGGCGCACTCAGCTCCATGCAGAGCGGTTTGCGTACTTGTTTGTTTACAGCTCAGTGTTAGGGGGGAAAAAGGAAAAAAAAAAAAAAAAAAAAGAAAACAGGCGGCTGAATGGGCTAAGTGTCCTTGTGAATAAGCACTAAAGAGCCAGCTCCTGCTGACAGCAAAAGGCTACGAAGTTCACAAGTTTATAAATTAAAAACATTTGGGACTTGCGCAAAACACATTTTTTGCCGAAAACTGGTTTTACACTCTTAGTCACCAACCAACAAGCAGTGCTGCTTAATATAGCCAAAATATACATTTTTTGCACATTTTTATTAAAGAAGCATATTCACTAATGCGCACAAAAATGTAAAGACAATCCTGCACAAAATCTTGCAAGATCCAAAAACTGCGCAAGAATTTGAGCACAGGTTAAAGGTATAACAACACTGTCAACATACAAACCTGGTAGCTGGGGTTGTCAATCATTGGTGCCTTCCATTTTCCTTTGTAGTTAGGGTTGTCAATTGTGGGGCGTTGCCAGACTCCACAGCCAGGTGCAGACTCACATTTGGGGTTTGCCACTTGAGGTGCCTCCCATTCTCCATCCATATCCTCATCCCTGTTAGATAGCAATAGTTGAATCTCAACAAAGCACAATTGTTTAAACAAAAGCACACTGGGAATTTAATTCAACCTACCAGTCTTCAGGCTTTTCGGCATCAGGGTCAGCAATGTACTCCGGTTCATCATCCAGCCAACCTTCGGGCTTTACTGCATTCTCATCAGGGACCTTTGCTGGAGCATCCTCATCCCTAGAAAGCAGACATTTCACAATTAGAAAAGCTATATAGGTACATTTTAGATATTTATAAACAGCATCATATCTATATTTTAAAAATCTTAATATACTAGAGAAGAATATCTCCATCTGGTAAAACCAGCTATGGTTATTTAAAGCGAAACTTCACCCAAAAGGGGAAGTTCTGCTAGTTTGTATCCCCCCTCCACTGCCACGTTTAGAATTTTTTTTGGGGGGTACGGGGTCAGTGGATACCAGGTTTTGACAGGTACCCACTCCCACTTCCGGTCAGATGCACTGCAGCGACCTGAGCCAAAAGTTCTGCCCCCTCCTCCTGGGATACAAAAGACTGCGGGTCCATTCGCACATGCGCAATAGGAAGCTGGATGTGTAGCCACAAGGCTTCACTGCCGGTTTCCATTACTGAAGATGCCAGCACCTGCACCTGAAGCCAACTGAAGAAATGGCTTGGGTGAGGAAATCGCTGGATCCCTGGTCAGGTAATGGCCTTATATTAAAAGTCAGCTGCTACAGTAATTAATTTTTTGGGGAGAGCCAGGAGCTCTGCTTTAAGCTGTATAAAGAGGAAGAAAATATAATCGAGTAGGAGTAAATGCTTCGTTTTCGTTAATGTCTCTATGAACGTCTTTGAATGACAATTATGCAGAGAAAAAGGTTGTATTATTGTTGTGGGACAGCACTGAAGCAATATCATGTGTCCCTGAGTCTGGGAGTTTAGCAGGCATAAGTGCTACAGAGGAAACCAGTCTGCCTGCAAACATATACTCATGTTTGTTTTGCTGAGCGTCAGAAGGGGAACTGGAGACCGAACAAAATCAGGCCTGCCATTGTGTCTGACAGACACAGAGCATATTAGAAGAGGAAAGACTGAAAAAAAATCAGGTCTGGATCCCATTTAACCAATTTCTGTCTGCCCTATAGCAGATTTACTGCTACAGGGCAGACGTTATATAAATGTTATTTTGCACTTCCACCATAGAGGGGGCGCCCGCCACCGTAGCGCTGCGTCTGCTGTGATTGGACACAGATGGAGCTGATCAACAGTTGCCGGCCAAAGGATGAGCGTTGGCACTCGTTGATCATCGAGGAGAGTGACAGGACACAGTTCTGCCTATGGAAACAAGGCTCATCTGTGTCCTGTCAGCGGCAATCTGCTAGATTTTCTTTCCCTAAAAAGCAGGGAATAAAATCTAGCAGATTGCCTAGTAAAAACACCAAAACAGTACTCTAAAACTCACAGCTAGACACACAAATCATTTAATTGCCCTAGATGTTTAACCCCTTCCCAGCCAGTGTCAGTAATACAGTGATAGTGTATATTTTTAGAACTGATCACTATTAGTGTCACTGGTTCTCACAGAGTGCCAGTTAGTGTCAGACTGTCCGCTGCAGTATCGCAGTCCCACTATAAGTTGCTGATTGCCGTCATTACTAGCATAAATAAAAAAAATTCCAGTATATATACACACACACCATAGTTTGTAGACGCTATAACATTTGCGCAACTTAATCAATATACGCTTATTGGGATTTTTTTTTTACCAAAAATATGGAGAATACATTTGTCTAAATTTATGAAAAAAATTAGATTTTTTAAATTTGTTTTTATTGGATGAGCAGAAAGTAAAAAAATATAGGTTTTTTTTTTAATTTGTCTTTTTTCGTTTATTGCGCAAAAAAAAAAAAAAAAAATAGCGATGATCAAATACCAACAAAAGAAAGCGCCATTTGTGAGAAAAAAAAAAGATATAAATTTAATTTATGTTCAGTGTTGCATGACCACACAATTGTCCGTTAAAAGTATCACAGCGCCATATAGCAAAAAATAGCCTGGTCATGAAGTGGGGGGAATCTTCTGGAGGTCAAGTGGTTAAAGCTGAAGTTTAATCTGCTTACTTGCTTGCCCTAGTTCCCCTTTCATCAAAAGAGGGGAACTAGGGCAAAAAAAAATAAAACCAGGGCAATTAAAGAAGAAAAAAAAAAATTTAGATTTTTGTACTAATCATAAAATCTAAATTACCTTTCAGTTCATTAAAGGACACTTCATGATGAAGGACTTCATGACAAAGCATTGCAAGAAAGAAGGTGCACCTAAAAAACCAAAACAATGAGGAACCACACCCTGGCACAATGCAGCCTATCGCCTACAAACCTTACTGGCCAAACACCAGCATCCACTGAGGCAGCCACATCCATCTTGTAGAACCTGGGAAGGCATGAATAGAATACCACACAACCACCTAACAAGCTGACCAACAGAAGCAGAACGATGAAACATCCAGGACGGACTTAACGTCCTGATGGAATGTGACAGAGGTTTTGAGATAAGGCATATGCTTGAAACAGTTCAATCAAACCACCTACAAAGAGGAAAATGATGTCCTTTGCTAGGGACGACCGAGACAAGAAAGAAACAGTCTTCTGAATAGAGGCCGTGGAAGTAAGAAACTCATGAGAATGAGAGCACAGAGAAGATAAGACTGTCTTCAAGCAAGGAAAACAGATACCCCCTTTGGCAAGAAGGGCAACCAATGTAAAAGTACCACCGCACTGCTGTGTAGCTCCATAATTGGATAGTTACAAGCAAGAGGCACCAGCTGGAACACTTAATAGTCAGAAGTGATGGCCACAAGGAAGGCCACTTTGCAATACAGTGTAAGAGGAATATCACAGATTTGTTTCAGGAGGGGCTTTGCAAGGCTGACAAAAGTAGATTCAGGTCCCATGGTGGCAAGGAGGGTTGAAAAGCAAACTACCCTTGTGACTCCCTGGATAAAAAGTACAAACCAGGGAGAGAAAGCCAAAGGATGTTGACTAAAGAATGGCCAAGGCCCAGCATGGTTCATAGGGTCAAATGGTCCATGTGCCTGTGAAGAAAGGTCATGATACTAGCCCCCGAGAACCTGCAAGGAGAAACGCAGTAGCGAAGTAGGCTTCCCCAGTGCAATAACAGAGGAAACGGCAAGTGGACCTCCAGGCTAAAAGCACTGTGGAAATGACAGTCACTCACAGAAGGTAGTCATCCAACACCTGGCTTTGAAAAGCAATGCAAAAAGCCAGCAACTGTGAGCAGGGTTGGAATTAGATCTTGAGAAAAAGATCTGGGCAGAGCGGAAGGCGCCACAAGCATTGGTGACCAACCGGATGGGATCTGCAACTCAGGCCCTGTGTGGCCAGTCTGGAGTCATAGAGTATAACAAGAAGCCCTCCCACTCCATGCTTGGCAACAACCAGAGAAGGCACTTCAGGGAAGGGAGGCATACATCAGGGATTACTTGAGTCACAGAGTGACCAGAAACATGAAACCACTTCCCAGGTAACCCTTGATATGGCTACAACAGGGAAACCTACCAATGGAGCGTAGATATAAGGAGATCTACACCTGAAGAGTGCCAGCATTGGAAAATCCATAGATGATGTCCTAATGCAGTGACCAGTCTCCTTGATCCATGCTTTGGTGGTGGACAGTCCACTTGCCAGTAGACTACTCCTGGAATATGGACAACAGACAAGGCTGGGACTTGAATTTTAGCCCCACTGAGCTCCGAGACGACACCACGGTTACAGCAGAGCTCCTGGCGCCACTTGGGAATTCATGTAGGCCATAGTCATGGCATAGCTCGACAACACTCTGAACGGTCAATTGTCAAGCAAAGTTTCCCAATGGGAGCAGGAAGATTGACAACCTGGGTCCCAAGATGTTGATTGGGAGACCATTCGCTGCGGAAACATGGACTCTGAAGGGCCAATAATCCCATCAAGCCCCTCCCCAAAGCATAGACTGGCGTCTATGAGGACTAATTGCCAACTGAGGGGAAGAAAAGTCTAACCAGACAGCAAAATAGGGAAAAAAAGCCACCAGCCCATGGTGTCTTGTCAGGTGAGAAAGGTGAATAAGATGGTACAACAAACCTGGGACCCTGAGCCACTTGGCCAGAAACTCTTGCAGTAACAGTCAGCAAGTTGCATAAGCAAGCAATCCTAGAGAAGCAACCATGAGGCCAATAACCATGTGCAGGCATAAACAGATGCAGACCGAAGAGAGGACAGGTGAAGAACGAAGTCGCAGGTGCTGACGTTCCACCAGTGGAGGGAAACCCTGGCCACAGTGGTGTCCAGAACCAGAAACTATCTCTCCTGTGCTCTATGACCCAGAGCAAGGGTGGATGGATGGAACCAGAACTTGAAAAATTCGACCACCAATGCATATAAGGTTGTGCAGCTCTAAACAAGGATGGGGAAGCCCGACCAGTACTGCAAAGTGAAACAAAAAGAAAGCGCACCAACCTTGCGCATTACCTCAGCAAACCACAATTTTATTAAATTCAGAATAATATTCACAAACAACAAAGTATAGAGCTCTGATGAAGAAGGGACCCCCCTTCGAAACGCATCAGCCGTACTCTGAGAATCTACCCCTATGATGGGACTCGCACAGGTTTCGCATTTCTAAAGTTCCTTTGAGGACTTACATGATTGATTTACTTTGTTGTTTGTGAGTATTATTCTGAATTTAATATAATTTTGGTTCGCTGAGGTAATGCGCAAGGTTGGTGCTCTTTTTGTTTCACTTTGCAGTACAGTGGTGTCCAGAACCAATCCAAGTAAGGAGAAGGAAGGAGGAATGACTGAAGGTTCGGCATCCATTCCAAAGGCCTCCAGTGACTTGATAGTGAGGAATGAAGGCATTCCAGAACCTAATGCAAACTGTGTATGTAGAGCAGATATTCCAGACAGGCCACAACTGAATCTGGTGGTGACGCAGGAGAGCCATGACTGGAGCCAAAGTCCAAGAGAAGACTCACAGCATGTACAGCAGTCCAAGAGAAAAGGCCACAGACTCTCCCCTGCAAAAGAAGGCCTGAAGCTCTCCCCCTGCAAAAGAAGTGACCGTTCATGACTGTGGCTATGAGAACATGGGAGATAAACATCCTTGTTGTAAATACAGTATAGGCTAAAAAAAAACAACAAAAAAAAAAAAAAAAAAAAAAATCCCTGATGAAGGGAAGCTACCAATGAGTGCACCGCTCCACCTGGAAAAAAAAAAAAAAAAAAAAAAAAAGTGGGGTAGCAGCCCACACAAGTGCCGTGGTGTGGTTGGATAATCCCCTAATTGGGCCCGCAGTGGTCACCACCTCCCCCTGCCCATGTGAAATGAAACCTGAACTGCAAGTGCCTCTTGTGCTGCTACGCTGCAGCAGTGAGTGGGAAGGCTCTCTCCTGCAACTGAGTGCTATACCAGGATAAGCTGATGAAGCTCAAGCTGACCACTGCCCAGCTTCAATCTACAGCCATACGTGCGGCCTCGTGGATGGGGACACCTGCCTAGCCACTCCCGCTGGACAGAGGGAGAACCGCCCCTCCTCAAAGCTACTGGACCAACTCCAGGCAGTAAAAAGTTAAAAAGGGCAGATACCCACAGTAAGAATGGCAGCCGTGGGAGAGCTACAACAGCCCACCCTAGGCCACATGAAAGGATGCCTGGCACTGTGCAGCAGCTTCTGCCCACAGACCTTATCCTCTCCAGGACATACCCTGTCCAGTGGGAACACCAGTAAAATGGCAGCCATGAAGTCACCAGTACCCTCCTCAGCCTCAGTGTCAATCCCAGCTGCACACAAGTGAACTTGCCTCCCAGCGGAGAACAGTCTTGGCCGAGGGTGGATTTGTTGGTGATATCGGAGATGGGGGGGGGGGGGGGGGGGGGGGGGGGGGGGGGTCATTGGGGGGGGGGGGGGGGGGGGGGGGGGGGGGCTAGGTCAAATTTCTTTAAGCCACATACAAGAGCCGCCAAGCCACCCATACTCGCTGGGTAGAGACTCGAGTGGACCAATAGGATACCAAACTGTAAACCAACACACCTGGGACCTGTATTCTTCTATTACTATATCAGAAATCCTGGGAGCTATGGCAGTGCAGTGAAAAAAATTGCTGCGTGGGGGAGAACTTAAGGAACTTTCACCTCAGGGAGACCCATGTTAACCATGCACTTACCCACAGGAGATCCATGCACACTCACCTATAGGAAACATGGGATCTGTAGTCCCAGAGGAAAAGACGAATACCTCTGACCCCAAGAGAATCGGGTGTTGCCAGCCCAATTGTGGCACGTGATGGAGTGATCAAGTCCGGTCATTGTACACATTCACTGAGGACTGGGGGGGGCAAACTCCAGGGCAAAGGGATACTCGCATGTACCCGATGCACCCAGCACTCACCACAGAACAGTGCTCATGGTAAATTAGACAAACCTGGACTTTTAGTTCTCCACCTATGAAACACCTTCAATGTTGGTCAGGGTGTCGTCGGCCCAAATGTAACGTTGCGTTGTAAGGATTAAGTCCAAATGGTGTACGTGTTCACTAAGGGGGTCAAGCTGCTCAGGGCCATTCCACAAAAGCAGAGTCTTCACAGCCAATCCCCCTAAGGTTAGGACAGCATGTGCTTGATGGCAATGTGGGGGTGACTACCCGTATTTATGATACCCGACCTGTCATTCAACACTAATAGACAAACATCCATAAAAAAAAAATATCTTCATCAGGAACATCTGGTCAAATCCATCGACCAGAACACAAAAATCCAACTACAGGTACAAAATTCTTGAACAAAACGGAGCAGAAAAAAATTTCACACCCTACTCCTGAGACAAGGTATAAAAATCAGTAGGGGGCCGCCCCAGGGTGTGTTTAGACTTTTGGTTTCACCCAGCAACCTGCTCCCGCAGGTGGCGAATTAAAACCCATCCCTCAAGAAGTTAAGTGGAGTCCTTCAAAGGAACAAAAAAGAAAAAAAAAAAAAAAGAAAAAAAAAAAAAAATTGGTTTTCACTAAATTCTTATTTAATATCATCATTAGTTTCTGGCATTTTCTATGCAATGCAGGCAGATCATGAATGATGGGAGGGGCCAGCAGCATGCTGTAGATTGCTAAAAATAACACAACAACCTGCTTCTGTACTCCTTTCAAGAGCCCTCAGAAGGCAGTGGGCAGACTCCTGGGAGGAGTAATGCAACTACTAACCGCTTCAATACAGGGCACTTTCACCCTCATCCTGCCTAGGCCAATATTCAGCTTTCAGCGTTGTCACACTTTGAATGATAATTGCGTGGTAATACAACACTGTAGCCATATGACATTTCTAGCATTTTTTGAGACCGATAGAACCTTCTTTTGGTGGTATTTAATCACTGGATTTTTAAAATTTTCGCTAAACGAAAAAAGACTGAACACTCCCATCTCAAAAAAAAGCACAAACAAAAAAAACACAACCAAAAAAAAAAAAAAGTTTCTTCTTCAATGATGTACACTAATGATGAGGCTGCATTGATGGGCAGTAATGAGGCTGCACTGGTGAGAAGGCACTCATTATTACTGTAAACAAAGTGCTGACAGTCTTGCTGAGTATCGACTGTCTCTTCTGCACAGACACAGCATAAAAGGAAGAGACTGCCGATAACCGACAAGTCTGTTTACATGTGATTGGAACAGCTGATCACATAGTAAAGGGCTGCTGTGACTGGACACAGATGATCACAGATCACGTTAAAAATGGCCAGAGGAAACAGTGATCGCAAAGCGTGCCCAATGTGAGGTGCGTTCTGGGAGGACATCTATAGATGCCCTCCCAGAAAAAGAGAACCACACTGTAGCCGTCTTTCGCCTTATTAGCGTGGTTAAAATACCCTGATGGGTAGATGTCAGTCCGGAGGAGTGGGCATTCTTAGGCAGGCCAAATTTCTATACAGACTGCTCTAGATATATGCCCATGTGATGCTGAATCACCATGACTAAAATACAACATAAATGGGGCCAGCCAGAGACATCAACGCTGAGGAAGAAAAGGCTGGATTGGTGCTGAATGTTCTCTGGCCAGCAAATGGGGTGCACTCTGACTTGCTGTAGCGTCGAATAAATTCTGCAATAAGCTCATAGTATGCAGTGATGCCAAGTAAGCTTATTTCAATACAAGAAGAGCCTACAGATGTGCAATAATAAAGGGTAAAGCTGCAGTTCAGTCTTTGACTGCTTTACTGAGAAAAGAGCTAAACAGCTGAACCTCAAACACTGCTAGCAGGTCAAATTAAACAGAAAACAGCTGTGTACTGGGGGGACTAGGTATTTTTATTTTTTGTTTACTATAGGCATACATGTGCTTTAGGAACCAGGTAAAAAAGGACACTGAATTTTTATAAACAGTAAAGTCTGCATATGTATAAACACTTCAGCCCGGATGCTCTGCTTAAGTGGTGGTAGCTGGGTAGTCCCACCCCCCTGCAAACGGGTGATCAGTGCCAACTATGGATATTCACAGTGCAATCTGTAGACTACCCAAAATTTAAGGCTTCATGCGCACTGTATTCGATTGATGCTTTTTTCTCCTACAGGGAGTTTAGGAGCAGCAAAAAACGTGGAAAAAAAACAAGCAGCGTTTTTGCATGCACCTGGCATTAAGACATTCTACTGGCCAGAAATATGGGCGTTAGAATGCATTAGCGCAGGAATGCGCCATTACTGTGTGTCTAGATGGATGTCCTGAATACAGAAGCAATGGGTTTTTCTTCTGCCTCAAAATGCCCTGCTTCTAAACTTCTGTGTACATGGGTTATGCACTCTATACATGCAGGTAAAAAAAACCTTAAGTGTGTAGCTCCACCGCAGCCCCTCCTATACTTATCTGAGCCCAATCTCAATCCAGGGATGTGCAAGAGAGCAGCGGCTCTCCCAGCCCTCTCCATTCTCATTGGCTCAGACACAATCAATCTCAGGCAGTGAGGAGGGATAGGGGGTGGGGCTGAACCACACTGTGTCGTAAGGCTAATTTACACATGCTTCAAAAATGTGGTTTCGGACATTTTTTTTAAAAAAAGCGCTTTGAATGCCAATCAATCAAAGCCCCTGTTACTAAATAAAATGGTTAGTTTACACATTGCTTTTGCCTCAAAAAATTATACCCCATGTCGCTTTCATGGTGCTTCAAAGTGTCTCTGAGGCCTCCATAGAAGCCTATGACAAAGCTTGCTTGCATCACCTGCAGCTTTGAAAAGGCTTTTATTCAGTTTTTAGCTTCACTTTGTTTTGGAAGTATTGCAGGTATAAGGATATCCCAGGCAACACTGGGAAATCTTTAAATCTGGATGGAAAGGTTCGATTTTTGCTTATAGAACCACTGATGGACTTTTAATTTCAAAATGTGTACTACTGAAAAAAATATATTGGGATTAAATGCAATAATTATATATATTAATTACATAAAAGGCTATCCTGTCTGTGTATTCTATTTCCCTTTTAACTCGATAGCAGGTTATGTTTCAGAAGTAACAAATGAGCTTTTGTGGACACACAGTCTGCTTGGGAGAGAGCACGCACGAGTGCCCCTGCACTGCAGCGAACGACCTGCTATGCGGGTACTCGGCAGGATCTTGGTGGGGGAACTGACAAAGGATTAGGACTGCTCTGTGCAAAACCATTGTACAGAGTAAGTACAACATACATGAAAATGCTCTAATGTAGTGAACAGAACTGAACAGTAGATCAAATTATATACACAGCTAAGAGGAGAGGCTCCGCCCTCTCTATTCTCAAAGGCAGACGATACTCCTGGGCAATATCTTTAGAAAATACAGGGCGGATGCTCTGTATTAAATATTTATAAACAACCATTTCAAAACTTGTAAAGTAAATTAAGAAAAATTAACAACCTGAACTGACCTAAAACCAAAAAAATGGCACATTAAAAACAAAAAATCCAAACTAACTGTATCAGAAGAAACCCCATTCTGATCCACCGATACTTACCAGTCTTCTGGTTTGACAGCGTCAGGATCAGGTATTTTTGGTCTTTCATCCCAGTCCTCAGGCTTCTTGTCGTCTGGGTCCTCAATCTCATTGGGTGGATTGACAGGGGGGTTAACGTCGTTTAGCAGGTTGCCACTGTTTACCACAGTTTGGTCAATCAGGATTTCAAAGCTGTTATCAGGATTCAAGACTGCAAGAGAATATATGCATACATATATTAGAATATATATATGTTATAAAAAAAAAAAAAAAAAAAAAAAAGATGTCACTGTCAATAGGAAAACCATTTACTTTTAAAACATAGTTAACATAGCCAATACTCATTTTCAAAACCAATTATATAAGCCTGGCATATTACAGAATTTTTGGAAAAGCTGCACTATCTTGAATAAAGCTGAACGTATACAGTAAGTAAGCAATTACTTTAGAGCTACTGTTCAAAGACATCAATTACTGATGTACATTCACATTTCAGGTCTCTTATTTTAGGCTAAGCCAAAAGGGATAACTGGAAGAACTCCATTATTAAATATGAAAATAAGTCATCAATAAACCCCCTTCAATATAATAATAACACTACTACTACTACATTTTAAAAACGTTGCCCAAAACTATCAATTAACCGCTTGCCGCCCTGCCACTGTGTTTATACGTGTGCAGGGCGGCAGTGGAGCGCAAAACCACGTTTAAAAAACGGGTTCTGCGCTCCCGACACTTTCGCGGGCAGGGGGCGCGCGCCCGCCGACCCGCGGGTGATCCGATTCGATCCAGGAGGGATCAATCATTAGATTTCAGCCAGTGATTTCTGGCTGAAATCGGATGATCGGTCCCTGTCCTATCCTGTCCTGTGTTGATATTTACACAGGGCAGGATATGATGTCATTCTTCTCTGCCTGGACACATTCCGTTCCAGACAGAGAAGAAGAGACATTTAAAACGTGAGTAAAACACTACACTAACAGTTAGAACACACTCTAGGACACATTTAACCCCCTGATTGCCCCCCCCCCAGTTAACCCTTCACTGCCCTGTCACCAGTGTACCTGATCAGTGAAGCGATTTTTATTGATCACTGTATCAGTGTCGCTGGCGACTTCCAATAGTGCTAGCGCCCCTCCCAGATAGCGCCAGTTTGCCCCCCAGTACACCAATAAAGCCATTTAACCCCTTAATTTCCCCCCCCACCCCCCCAGTTAACCCCTTAACTGCCCTGTCACCAGTGTCACTGATCAGTGAAGCGATTTTTACTGATCACTGTATCAGTGTCGCTGGCGACTTCCGATAGTGTTAGCGCCCCTCCCAGATAGCGCCAGATTGCTCACTAATACACCAGTAGTCCCGTCTAACCCCTTGATCGCCCCCCCCCCCCCCCCCCCTGAGTTGACCCCTTCACTGCCCTGTCACCAGTGTCACTGATCAGTGAACCAATTTTTACTGATCACTGTATCAGTGTCGCTGGCGACTTCCGTTAGTGTTAGCGCCCCTCCCAGATAGCGCCAGATTGCCCGCTAATACACCAGTGATCCCGTCTAACCCCTTGATCGCCCCCCCCCCTCCCCCCTGAGTTGACCCCTTCACTGCCCTGTCACCAGTGTCACTGCTCAGTGAACCAATTTTTACTGATCACTGTATCAGTGTCGCTAGCGACTTCCAATAGTGTTAGCGCCCCTCCTAGATAGCACCAGTTTGCCCGCTAGTACACAGATAATCACATTTGACCCCTTGATTGCCAGGAACACGCTTACTTGCACGCTAAACCTTCATTGCTAGTATAGTGTCTGATTGGATCAATATCTTTGATCAGATCAGCGCTATACCAGCATTCACATTACTTTAGTATCCCCAAAAACGCAGTGTTAGCGGGATCAGCCCCAACACCTGCCAGCACCGGCGTTTAGCCCCTACGCCCCCCCCTTCTCCCCCGGCAAGTGCAGTGTCAGTAGATAACTGTCACTTGATACATATTACACACAAAACCGCAGTGTTCACAGAATCAGGCCTGATATCTGTTAGCACTTGTCGGTAAATTTTTTGTAGCGGTTCAAGCAGTCCCTGACAGCCAGGCGCTCTTTTTCCCTGTGAGTCGCACTAGGTACCTGTAAATTTAGTGGCCAAAATGTCTAAGCAAAGGTACACTAGTGAAGAGGCCTATAGGATTCTGAGCATGTCAAGTGAGAGCGAAGGGGAAGACTCACTGGCAGAATCAGGCTCAGAATACGAACCTATAGACAGCAGCGGCACCCTGACAGCTAGCTCAGGCGACGAGGAAGTGGTCCCTGCTAAGGTCAGGCGTACCCGATCCCATTCACAGGTTGCTGAGGTGGTACAAATGCATGATGACTCTCATATGCAGCAGAGTGCCAGTACTAGTGCTGCAGTATCTTTTGGTGAACTGGCGAGCACCAGCGGCCTAGTACGTCCTGGTCGTAGGCATACCAGCACTGCAGTATCACTTGGTGACGTGGCGAGTCCCATAAGTGCAGTACAAGCTGGTGCGGTGGCGAGCACAAGTAGTGTCCCGCGGCCACCAAGAATTCGCAGACAGGCCCGTAGAGCCCCTAGTGTCCTTCCAGATGTGCTTGCAAATCCCGATTGGCAGCCCACAAATTCTGCAGCACCCGTACTTCCCCCATTCACTGCCCAACCCGGAATTCAGGTGGAAACAGCAAATTTAAATACTCCCCTTAATTTTTTTGAGCTGTTTTTCACAGAAGATCTTTATGCATTGATTGTGGATCAAAACAATTTATATGCACGCCAATTTATCGCCGCCAACCCAAATTCAAACCTTGCCAGACCATTCGCATGGAAACCCATTACGGTTTCCGAATTTAAAGTTTTTTTGGGCCTAACCCTCAACATGGGCATTAATGATAAAAATCAATTGCGGTTGTATTGGTCCACCGACCCTCTTGTTCACATGCCCGTGTTCTCTGCTGCCATGGCCAGGCATAGATATGAGAGTATAATGCGTTTTATGCACTTCTACGACAACTCACTCAGTCGTCCTCGGGGTGACCCTGAATTTGACCGGCTCCACAAAATTCGGCCCCTCGTAAATCACTTTAAACCAAAAATTTGCAGATGTGTATACTCCCCAGAAAAACATCTGCATCGATGAGTCCCTCATTCAAATATTCTGGCCGCCTTGTAATCAAACAATATCTCCCCAGCAAGCGTGCCAGATATGGGATCAAGATGTATAAGACCTGTGAGAGGGCAACAGGCTATACATGTAAGTTTCGGATTTACGAGGGAAAAGATAGTTACTTGGAGCCCCCCGGATGCCCAGACTACATGGGGAGCAGTGGCAAGATAGTTTGGGACTTGGCGTCATCCTATTTCCACATGGGGTACCACTTATACGTGGACAATTTTTATTCAAGCGTGCCACTATTTAGACATTTGTTCAATTTGGGAATTTGCACATGTGGCACTGTGCGATCTAATCGCCGAGGCTTCCCCCAACGGCTTGTAAATACCCGTCTTAAAAAGGGGGAAAAAGCCTGCTTGAGAAATGAAGAATTGCTCGCAGTGAAGTGGAAGGACAAACGGGATGTTTACCTCCTGTCTTCCATTCATGCAGATACGACCGTCCAAAAATTACCACGGCAACTGGTGTTGTTGAGAAGCCCCTCTGTGTCCACGATTATAACCTTAACATGGGAGGGGTGGACTTCAATGACCAGATGATGCAGCCGTATTTAGTTTCCCGAAAATCCAAACGCTGGTACATAAAAGTGTCAGTTTATTTATTTCAATTGGCTCTATATAATGCTTTTGTTCTCTATAAAGCAACTGGACATAGTGAATCATACCTAAATTTCCAGTTAGAGAACATCAGGGCCCTTTTGTATCCAGAAGGTGCTGTGCCCCAAATCCCTCTCCCAGATGCAGTTAGCCGTCTGCATGAGAGACATTTTCTCGATACCATTCCTGGTACCCCAACCCAAAGAAGACCCCAAAAAAGATGTCGTGTCTGCAGCAAACGTGGAATTAGGCGTGACAGCCGCTATTGTTGTCCCTCCTGTCCTGGCCAACCTGGCCTCTGCATCAAGCCCTGCTTCCGCCTCTACCATACACTAGTGAACTATTAGTATAGGGTACAGCACGGCACAGATCAGGGCACATTTACACAGGGTCTCAAAAGATGTTCGGTAGTCAGGAAACTGGCTATCGCATTTGGAGAGACCCTACCAGCTGTTTAAATGTTTGAAGTTTGGGAAAAAAAAGTTAAAAAAAATAAAAAAAATAAATAAAAGTACAAATACCCCCCCAAAAAAAATAAAAAAATGTAAAAACCAAAAATAGTTATAGTTTTTTTTGTTGTTGTCATTTTTGTGATTGTTCGACTTTCACTGGTTTATTGTTGTTTTATTGTTAACCATTTCTGTTTGCAGGAATGCTTTCAGCTGCAGCGCTGACCTGTTTATTCTGACAGCAACAGGAACTTGCTCTCAGAATAGACATAAGTCAGCGTGAGCAGCGCTGTTGGATGAGATTTTTCATCCGCAGTTATAAAAAACAGAATATATGCCAAAGCATGGGGGCCTGGGGTGGCCACTGGGTGGATGGCCCCTATGCTTCGGCATATATATTTTATATTTGTTGGCACATTTCATATGTGCCCACCATTAGAAGTGGGTGGATTGAGGGAGGTTTCTAATGGTGGGCATACCACCACACACTTTTCATTATAAAGTTGTTGAGTTTATGTTTTATTGTTAACCCTTGTTGATTTCTTTGCAGGAACGTCAAACTGCAGCACTGACCTGTTTATTCTGACAGCAACAGGGTCTTGCTTTCAGAATAGACATAAGTAGGTGTGTGCAGTGCTGTCGGATGAGATTTTTCATCCGCAGTTAAAAAAAAGAAAATATATGCCAAAGCATGGGGGCCTGGGGTGGCCAGTGGGTGGATGGCCCCCATGCTTCGGCATATATATTTTATATTTGTTGGCACATTTCATATGTGCCCACCATTAGAAGTGGGTGGATTGAGGGAGGTTTCTAATGGTGGGCATACCACACACTTTTTCTGGCAGAGATTTCTTCTCTTTTTTTTCATTCAGCCCACAGGCTGCATAAAGAAAAAAAGAACATAGCATATACACCCAACAAGGACCAGTGACGTACTGGTACATCACTGGACTTTGAATGGTTATACCAGGGTGATGCCTGCAGCTGCAGG